TTTTTTTTTTTTTTGAAGGGATGGGATTCAGCGATCGAGGAGATTCATTTGATCTGAATGTTGCGTTACAGGATCATTTCAAGTACGTAGAAAAAGCGAATAGGTCAGAGAAGGAAGAAGAAGTTATGAATGAAGCTCCCAGATTAGATCTAGGCTTCAAAGAAGGACAAACGATTACGATAAATATTGGTGTAAGCGTTTCTTCAAGTGTTATATTTTGAAGTTACATTTATTTTATTTAAATCTGTGAGCCGACTTATCAACAAATTTGTTTTCATTCAAATTTTTCTGTTAAACACGTCGTAAGTAACTCTAGATTATTTCAACACACCGAATCAAAGTAACAGCAGCATTGAGTTGTCTAGTTAAACAAGGGAGGTATATGATTATGACAAATAACATCGAAATAAATCATCAGTTTCATTTCTAACAACTTTTAAATTTTAATTACTTAGTTGCGTCCTAAACGCTTTACAGTTTTGCTTACAATCACTGCCGCGAAGTGATCACATTACAGTAACTTTAAACTAGGCAAAAAAAAACTAATTCAAATTTAAATTTTTACAGGAATGTTTAAATTTTCAATTTATGCTTCTCCATAAAAGGCAAAGATTGTTGATAGGAAACGCTGCTGTAATGAAATTATAAAGTCTGCATATTGTTTCGAATGAGGTGCAGAGGTCATTGTTTATAAAACGTAAAGCAGTCAAGGAAAGTTTTAAATATCTTGGTTCTTCGCTTTAACTAATTAACGAACTTGTAGAGCAAATGGTTTTTGACAGACTTGAAAAGGTACTTAGATTTTGTAGATAGTGGGTAGTGGACATCAGCTCATTAGTCAATCTGAGGAAAGGTATAGAATTTTTATAACTTCAGTTGCAGTTTAATGCTGTCTGGTTCACTGTTCATAGGCATCTAATATATAAGTTTCTGAGTTTTGCGGACCACTTCACAAATGTGCAAAGAGCACGAAAGGTTATTTCTAAGGGAAACTTTTGAACGAAAATGGCTGTTTTCAATTTGTTCTCATCTAACTCATTCGACTGCAGTATAATTTACTTTTAAGAAAAAAAAGGCTGGATCATCAACACCGAGGCCCAAGCCAGCGTCACGGTTACCTAATGATGGGAACATTCGTCTTCCTCCTCCACCACCATCGAGTAGTTCAGTAATTACTTCGAGGTCTCGTCCTCAGCCTACTTCTTCGATTACGACGACTGGCTCTACGCCGTCAACTAATTTATTGTAAGTTTTTAAAATAGTCAGTCTAGAAGTTTGATGGCTGAATTTTATGTGGCACTTTTGGCGAAATCAGCTTATTTTCAGTGGCTATTAAAGGTGTATATTATAGGGATCTATAGCGATCCAGGAGTATAATGTGCTTCCAGCGGCGGGACCCAACGACCCGTATTTATTTATTTGTGGATATAGTTTTGAGTGCTTCTTTTATTATTGGTAGCTGTGATTTCAACGTTTGTGGCATATTACAACGTCAGCATTGCGCTTAATTCATACATATTAAAAGTTTATAATTTGTTAAATACTGATAAGTGGTTACAGTGTTCTTTGCTGTTTAAAATCTTGCTATCCACCCGTTGCATATTCCAGAGTTACTTTTGAGATTCCTTTCTAATTTATTTGCGCTGTTCTTTGAAGTTTAATGAAGAGCAGTTTAATTCATTAATGCTTCACTTTTGTTATTATTTATTCAGTTGTTTTATGTAATTTTAAAGTTTTAATTTATTTTATACATTCGTTTTCTCGTACGATCTTCCGGTCCGTGAGTTTTTAGAATTTTGTTATTGGAGGGTTTGCTAATAGTCTTTTTAAATTAAATTATTAATTTTCTTGGTTTCAATAATAAAGTTTCATAGTTATTAGATTTTTCGATCTTTTTGGTAATCTTCCGTGCTGCGCAGCATATTTTATACCGGAAAGGGTTAAAAACGAGTTGTTCATGCGCTGACCTGGTTGGTGTTGAACGGTGTTCACCGGTCGTTAGTTTTCTGTTGTTGTTCGTGACGCTGAATTTTTGGAGGTTTTTAATAGAGCTTTTGGTTTCTTCCTGAAGTTTTTTGCTGGGATTGCAGAGTGCTAGTTGCTTAATGTTGATTTTTTGCTTTGGGCATTTTCCCCATGGTTCTTCGGCAACGTTAGATCTGGTTTTCTTTTCGAGGAGCAGTTGTAACTACTCATTTGTCTTCTTTTAATATTTAACCAGATTTATTTTAAGGCTTCCGATGGTTGTTGCATCTGTGACTGCAGTCGCTCGTTTGAAGAAGGATTATACAAAATTGCTAAGGGTAAATGCTAGAAAATTGTTGTTCGTCATCTTTTTGTTCTTGTTTCCCCCAGCATTGCTTCAACTTTTGCGTTTTCCTTATCCGCTCACATTTAATCTTTCTGTTCAGGACCCAGTGCCTTACATTGAGGCAAGTCCCCTTCACTCAAACATCCTTGAATGGCATTACGTAATCAGAGGTGCACCATCAACACCCTATGAAGGTAGTTATAATGAAATCAGGGGTACTTTAGTTGAGTTAGCATAAGTGTTTGCTTTCGCCTTCTGAAATGCTATGCTAATACATTTTACAACGTTTCAGGGGGATTTTACCACGGAAAATTAATTTTTCCTTCTGACTTTCCATTTAAGCCACCAGCAATTTACATGATAACTCCGTCTGGTCGTTTTCAAACAAACACACGTCTATGTTTATCTATTTCGGACTTTCATCCAGACACATGGAATCCTGCTTGGACTGTATGAAACGTTCAATATTCGAAGATTTATTTGGCCGACAGACGTTTTTTCCGTTGCTCATTGGTTGTTTTGTGTTGTCACTTCAAACAATTTCTTTTCTTTTGCAACATCTCTTACAGGTTTCGACAATCTTAACTGGATTACTTTCTTTTATGAATGAAAGTGCGCCCACTTTGGGAAGTGTTACATCAACCGAGACTGAAAAAAAAAATTTCGCTAAGAAGTCTGGAGAATTCAACCTCAGGGTATGCTGAAGATTCATGTTTTGGTTTTGGGGATTTTTTTTTTGTAACAGATCAGTTTAGGATCGAGTGTTCTGTGATCTTTTCGAGAATATTGCAAATGAGATCCGAACGAAGATGGCAATGGAGCAGATGGAATCTCTAGACGAAGTTGCGTCGAGGAATGAGGAAAGCAGTAGGTGCGTTAGTAAAATTAAATTTTATATAATTTTCCGCTATATTCATAATTTTTTTGATTTCAAGCAGTTTTATTCCATATCTCAGTTCTTCTTAATCTTGCTAAATGAATGAGTTTTTTTAGGAGTAACGGAGATGGGGATTATTCGGCCTTAACCTATAATTTATTTTTTATTGCTGGATTTGTGTTGATAGCTATAGTTGTCCGGTACGTCGTGCTGTCAGCACAAGAATCTTGATAAATTTTACATTGTCGTACAGAATGACTGAAGATTTTAGTTTATCTTTTGTTCGACAAGCCGTATTGAAGATTGTTGTTTGTATTGTGTGATTTGTTTGTTCGATTTGATTTTATACGGGTTCGTGCAAATTATGTTATAATTTGCCTTTTAGGTTTCTGAAAAGTCTCTGCGTAGTTAAGGGGCCCTGTGAAAGTTTTGTAGTAAGAAATTATCGTTTTTCGTTGAACGCAGCGTTTTACTGTTGTTTAAGCTGTTATAGTGTCGAAGTTTACCAGCCGCAAGTTCACTTTTTCTTGCATATAGGGTCTTGATTTATTATCTGTTACAGCTCTTGATTGTTTCAGTTATCTGACAATACCACCTAGCAGGGCAAGAGTATTTAAGTAGAACAATTATATTTAATGCCATTGGGTCTATAGTGCATGAAACTGTGGGATATTAGTCAGAGTCAGGTCCATTACTGCTTCCTTTTTTTTTTTTCCTTTTTCGTTCTTTTTAACATTTGGTGTCAGAAATTGGATTTTAATAAACGTGGTAAACATTTTTTTTTATTTTTTGTTGTGGTTTCTACTCTCGGTCACTCTATTGTTATTCGTCGTTTTTAAGGCGAAAGAATTCGAAATTTATATGCTTTTCAGATGCTTTTCTTCTCTTTTAGGTTTACTTAGTTTCAAAGAGCTTTTTTAAACCATATTGCAATGCTTTTCTTGAAAGTTTGATGTTGTAACATTATTTAATTCTGCTACACTTTTAATAGTGCTCTTTCGTGTACAGACAGACCTCTCCTGATTTCTACAACACCAGTGTTTTCGCCATGGCGTTTGGTAATTTTTGTAGTTTTGTCTATTTTAAGATCTATATAGCTTTTAGACTTATCTATTGTAATAAGATGTGGTTGGTTTTCCATGGTCATAGGGGTTACTTCATCTTTAGTGTCATGGTGAGGCATTTTGAGTAATTAAAAAAAGAAGGCGAGTTATGTTCATGTGACTTATTGGACGGCATTAACCATGGTTAAAAGCTTTGAAACAATTTTTTGGTGCAGTGGTGCATTTGAAGATTTCAGGAACAGTGTCGATGCGTTCCTTCTATATTTTAATTTTCTGCTTGACTAATCGCCTCGTGCTAATTGAGTCAAATCGTTTAAATGTATTGTCTAATAAATTGTCACTGTTAATTACGTGCTTCTGTTTTATGCCGGTTTTAACTTGAGGCAAATACCTTACCTGTCTCGTTTTATTTGCAAGAAATTATTGTTGGCTGAAAACGTTCCATAGGCATTCGTTTAGATGTTTTGTAGAAAAGCAGTGGCTGTTTCGCGACTCATATCGAACCAGGATCTTGGATAAGGTTTGTTAATTCTAATCATGTTACTGTTACAGACACTGCAATGTTTTTTACAGAAGGCTTCAATAGTTTTTAAAGCTCGCTTGTGTTCTCATTTTCTGTAGGCTTAACACGAAATTTGGTCAGAATTATTACTTTTTATGCAGCACGACTTCTGGTAAAATTCTTATGAGGTTGCTAATTTGCGACATTTTAAGGTTTTGTTAAATGGCAAAACTTTCGATTAGGAATGGCGTGATCACATATCTTTTATGTGCGTGCACAGTGACAGTTGTTTGTACTGTCTTCTTCGTATTGTCATGTAATTGTGACGCGGGATGTAACCGTCTCAGCAGTGGGGCGCTACATGCAATTAAAGATACTTCAGGTTTAATTATGTTTCACAGATGATTTAGACATCTTTTGCCTGATAAGTTAAGGATGTATTTGTTTTTTGATACAGAAGCTATGATCTTAATTTTTTTCGTAGATACACTGTATATTGTTAAGTAGCAAAAGTAAGCTTTTACTTCACAAACGTTTATTCTTGAATTTTCTTTGTGGTAAAAAATTGCAATTTTAGCGGACAGAATGCAGTTGCCCTCTACGTATCTAGTAGTTTTAATTATGAGCCATGCAAAGGATAGCGTTGTGAGAACTATTATTAGAGATACTTGGTTAAAGCTTTCCTTGAAAGGTATGAATGATATTCACTAACTCATTTTTCTGCATCACATCTGATTTATTTAAAATCTTGTAAATAGTGTTCATGATGTGATTTCTTAAAGAACTTTAATAGGAGAAGTGTATTGAGGTGCTCATGATATTATCTTTCGAAGACTTTTACTACCCTTGACCAGTTTATCAAGCAATTATATATTTAACATACCATTAGTTCTTTATCTTTAAATGATTTTAGGTCCGTATAGTGTGCGACATGCGTTTTCTATAGGTACTTCAAACCTCTCCCTTTCTGCGCTACAACACTTAGAGGAAGAGCAGCAGTTGTACGGGGACTTATTACTGCTAGATAGACTAGTTGACAGTTACGCAAATCTGACACGTAAAACGCTGTGGTCTATTGATGCCATATGCAAGACATATAATTTTGATTTTTTGCTTAAAGTAACTTTATATACATATATATATTTTTTTTTATATTTATTTTTTTTTTTTTTATATTTTTGGAACTGAAGCAAAAAGTGTTTGAAATAACGGAGATGATCTTATCTGCTTAGGTCGACTCGGATTCATTTGTGGTCCTTGGGGAGTTTTTGCGAAATTTACGAACTATAGAACATCCTCGTTTGTACTGGGGCTTTCTGGATGGCAGAGCAAGGCCCCGCAGGAAGGGTCAGTGGGCGGAAAAAGATTGGGTGCTTTGTGACAGGTATTTGCCGTACCAAGTTAGTGGTTTATTTGGTTTTTTTTTTTCTTTTTTTGTTTGTTGCTGAGTGAGTTTAATGCATTACACAGTTAGACTTGTGAAATCGTACATTATCATGTAATATATATATTTTTTACAGTTAGGCGGTGGCTATGTGATTTCCTATTCTTTGGCAGATTTCATTTCAAGAAATAAGCACTTGTTGAAACTGTACAGGTTAAATTTTTCAGATCTTAATTTCGTTTACGTTTACAAAGATTCAGATTTTATGATACATTTTATTTTATTCTATTTTTGGAAGGATTGAATGATTTCTATCTCACTTTGATTATTCGGAACCGCTAATCTCTAACTGCAAGTTGTTGAGTTAAGATTATGTTGGTTCCGCTTTATTTGATTCACTTTTGCATTGTTGCCGCTGTTGCTTTGCATTACCTTCTTATGAATTAAAATTTTTTGTTACATGTTTTCAGAAACGAGGATGTTTCTGTTGGTGCGTGGCTCAGTGGTTTGAACGTGAAGTATGTCCATGATCCTCGTTTTGATACCGAGTTTAGGTCGCGCGGCTGTAATAACGAATATCTTATTACACATAAACAGCCACCAGAGGCTATGGAGGTATTAAACAACTACGGTTTATTTCCTTCTGTTGCATCAGAAGATTACTCTGCTTGAGTAGTTGTGGCGTATTTATAGTGTTTGTACACTTTCAGCATTTGTATTCAACAGTAGTCAAAACGGGAAAGTTGTGTGAAAGCGAATTCCGTGTTAGAGCGTCTTATGTTTATGACTGGTCTGTCCCACCAAGCAGGTGCTGCATTCGAGAAAACCGCTCATCGATTCCTTAGTCTCTTATCTTGTCGAGAAGGGTTCAGTATTATTACTTACTTTCAATTTTTATATTCTGCTTTTTACTTTTCAATTAACTACTAAGATTTATAATTTTTTTTCGAAAGGGGTCATAAGATGATTTGTAGCGCCGATTGTTATTGTTTGTCATGTGAATAATGTGCTTTGGTGTCCAGGTTTATTGAAAAAAGAAATCAGTTTTTGAAATGGATTTTATTTTCATTAAAACTATTCTAATCTTTGATATTTAGTAGAACTTTTTTATTCTAAATTTGTGTCATAAATATTACTCTCGATTATTAAAAACTTAGATTGTTTTAGAAATGTACTGTCACTTTCTCTGTGCGGTATAATGTTTATGTAAAGGAAGCGGATTTTGTTTTTTTATTGTGCTGAAAAGTATTGGAATTTTGAATCTCAGCGTCAAAAGGGACTTCGCTTGCCGTTTCTGTATACTTAGCCGAGCTCCACAGTATTTTTAAGCTATGCATGGATAAATAATGTTTGTTCGATGACTTGTATATGATTCATTATACTGACGGTTGGCTTACGGGAGTAATTGAGCGATACTTTTTAGTAGTGAGAAGTTTGTAAATGAAATATTTTGTTCACTTCATTCAAAACATTCTAAGGGTTTAGTCATTTCAATTATTTGTGAAGTTTGATCTCATTGCTTGCTATTTTGCCTATAATTTAAATTGTTAGGTCGATTAGTTTAGCATTTTTAAGCTAGATTTCACTAAATTTGCTAAATTCGAGGTAGTGCTTTCTGCGTTGTTTGCACTTGCATTTACCTTGTCACTGTGCTTCACTAATAAATAGTTTTGAACTGGTATTCATTTGCTTGTTTTCTTGGTTCTGTTTAACCACTCGCTACAGTAGTGAGGCTGCTTGGTAATTTATTTTCCCCTTTTCTTTCGTGTGATGTAGACCACTTATTCATTTTGGTTGTTTTTTTCTTCTGGACTTGAGGCTAGAAGTTCCTTGAGGTTGGAAGTGGTAGTAGGAACAGTTCTTCTGATGTTTTATACTTACTACTCTTAACCTACGGAATCATATAGGATATCAAAAGCCGTGTATTTGGTATTGGTTGTAGTTACTAACTTATTATTTTGAGGTATGACGACTAGTTCGTACCCAAACGAAAATTTTTTGGTGATCTCAAATGGGACGACACAGGGTGAGGTTGTATTGTTCCAATTTATTGGGCCTGCTTCAGTGTTGTTACGGAATATAGCAGTCCCATGGATTTTCCTGGGGAATCGTTTTGCAACCAACAATGGATTTTGGTTTGTATAAATTTTATTCTTTTTCATGCAGAGTCGTGCTTCATAATTGCAAATACTAAGGATTAATTACTTGACTCTCTAAGTTTAACCCGGACTTGTATTTTAAGTAAGCTTAAATGAAGATATGTTACGTGTCTTCAATTTCTTTTTCATTTTTCCCCAGGTTTTCACGTTTTTACGATTTGATTTTCACCTGGTATATTTAATTTTTCTGGTCCATTTCCTTTAACGGTTACACGAAGTCAGTAACTCAGCCGAATATGTTAAGATAGTAGTTTTAGTAAATGTGTAAGTTCATCATACTTGAAGACTACTCTAATTGGGAAGATTGTTCAGGAAATGCTTGTGTTTAACGCAGTATTGATGCCCTTAATTGTTCAGGTTTATAGGTTCAAATTTGCTTTGGATTATTTTTTTGTGGTTCTTCCAATAGCTTTGACCCTAACGCTATTATCGTCATTCATTGCTCTAGTTCTGACCTTGGAGATTATTGCAGTTATATCGCTTGTAATTTTTTTGCTTTGCGAATATATGCTGATAGCTCGTGAGAAGCCACCATTCAGAGCTGTAGTCAACGAAGTAATAGATGAAAATCATTCGCCTACGATATTCATCACGTATGTGAGGTATGAAGTTGTTCAGTCTCTTTTTGGTTTTTTTTTCTGCACCTTTTCCAACATGCCGAGGAGTATTCATGATTTTCAGATCTGTAGTTTTGATCACGACTTGTATTGCAATATTAGCTGTCGATTTTCCTGCGTTTCCCCGTCGCTTTGCAAAAACAGCAAATTATGGTAGAAGCATAATGGACGTTGGAGTTGCATCTTTTATTTTTTGTCAAGCTTTAGTGGACGCTTGCAAAGCACACTCAGCTCTTGTGATTAATGCACATTCAAAGATGAGGTGTGTAAATTAATTGTATAGTTATTTTTTTTAAATTTTACTACTATTATTAGTTCGCGGTTAAACTTTTTACTATGCTGTACTTTGTAATAGTTTAAATTCCTTCGAAGAATAATTTTGATAACCATTTTCCAGATCTGTTAAGTTCCATTTCTTTCGCTCATCAACTTTTATATTGTGCTCAATAGGAGTTTCACGTATGTTGCTCCTGTATCTTATTGATTATCCGCACGAAATATCCGAATATGGTGTACACTGGAATTTTTTCTTTACCTTGGCTTCCGTGCAGGTGAGGGCTGACAGGTGTTTTTCAAGTTTCATCTCAGCATTTGCTAAACTAAATTTTGGTTTTTAGCCTCTCTCTTGAAAACTAATATATTATGTTTATATGAAATAAGGTTCTTTCCTATTGCCTCGTTAACATCTTTGCAAAACTTATGAAATATATTTTAAGATGGTAAGGAGGATACTGGGAAAGCGATTTTACCTTTTGTATGGAATAATGATTGGTGTTGGTTATCAGTTTCTACTGTCTGAATATAAGCTTGAGGTTTGCATCCGACTTTGTTTTCTTTTCTGGTGGCTTATTAATACAGGTCTATTTTAATTTTTTTCTATACTTCCTTACCAGTAAATCCTTTACACAGGATTGGCTAATATCCGAGACAACTCCGAGAGATAATTTTTTGTCAGCCAACCGTGAGGGACTTTTTTCAGTATTTGGTTACTGCTCATTATATTATCTTTCGTCAACAATAGCACAATATGTGTTCAAAGCAGGGTAAGGAGTGAACAGCTAAGTTTCTCTTATGATTTTAAAGGTTTAGAGCTATATTAGTTTTTGGCTTTTTGCTTTCTTCTGTTGGGTATGGGCTCCAAACGTATCTGCCGTGAAAATGTGCTGTAAGACAAACTTTCCTAGCCTTTTTTATCTGCTTTTCAAAAATTAATCTTTACTTAGTTTATATTTTTTCAGTATTAGACTGAAATCATGGTTTTATCGTACCGTTCAGTTGCTCATTCTTGTTGCACTTCTTTATCTTCTTCAACTGTACCTTGAATCATTATATGGTTTACCGTCTCGCAGAATAGTAAATCTCCCATATATTATTGAAATGGTTTGGTTTTATTGCTTACGTGTTATAAAGTAAATTTTTCTTTTGATCCCTTTTTTGAGGTTTTTAGAAGGTTTCCAGTTTTTTGAAGTATAGCAAGTCTGGTCCTTGTAATGATTCAAAGTTGACTTTTTCAGTTAAGTTCCTAGACAAGCTATCTTAATCTGAGGTTGGTGACAGCTATTTCTGCCCTTCCTTGGCAGAGTGTTATTTCTTTTTGGCATACTTGTATTAAAGGAATTTTCATCTTAATCGAGAGTGAATTAAGTTGCTTTAAAAATCCAAACTTTTTGTAAGGAAAATAAATTTTTATGCCGCATAAAGTTTTCAAGGGTTTTCTTCCAAAAATCTTCACTTCAAAGGTATCGTGCTTTAGCTTATTTTCCACACGTTATTTTTGAGCGGCTTCCTACTTGTTCAATTGGCTTCACTGTTTGGCTGGGCGGCGCAGATGCCTCAGTTTTCTGCAGGTTTTTACTTGATTATTTTGAGTATTTCATAAATGGGTTTCTCATCAGTTGCTTTGAAAGAATAAAAGTATTTTTGACGAGTTATTCTGCTAACTTATTTACTAAAGCTGAGAAGTAGTTGTTTTTAAGGCTTTAGTGGCGTAAAATTATGTTCTTTCTCTACCAACTATTTAATTTAGACGAAAGTCCGTTTGAAAGTTCAAAACCATGTCTGATGGAATCTGTCAACGGTAATGCGTTATTTTTCTTTCTACTCGCAAATATTTTTACGGGTTTGGTGAATTTGGTTTTGCCTACATCAGAAATTTCTAATGACATCCAGTCGACTACTATTATTCTTCTGTATATTTTTGTCACAACAGCCATAATTCATGGATATTCAAGGTGGCGCATGCGTAAGTGAACATCTTGCGTCATTTGTGAAACAACTTCCCCGTATCTGTTAATAATATTCAAAGTAATTTATTGTTGCTTTTTTTTTGCTGTCTTTGATCTTGCTGTTGATGTATTCTGCATTTCTTAGCCAGACTTTTAGCATGTTAAAACTATGGTTCTTTTTTCAATTACTGAAATACCAAAATACTTTGTTTCCTTGTACAGATCTAAATTCCATCATTTTTTCCGCTCTTTGTGATTTGTGAGCAATCATTGGCTTTTTTGCTCAATCAGTGCCTTGATTAATTTGTCAATAATTGTGCGGGTTGATTTTTAAATTTGCAAGTGATAAGGGTTTTTTGGGAAGTGGGCTTAGTGTTCGTTGAGTGTTAGTACCAATATTTATTTTTTTTTTTAAATTCAGATGCTTTTGATTTACCTCTATTAAGTCTAAGGGTTTGGTATTTTGTACGTTGTAGCTTTCATAACATATTTGTTACAAATAAGTAGCATCAATATAACTATAATTCTCTCAGATTTTCTTGGATGTAATCTTTGACATTGATCTGCAAGTTATAGAAATTTGCGAATAATTTCGTTAAAAAAAGCAATTAACGTTTTGTTGTCATAAATCGAGTATTTCTCCTTCGTTTTAACGTTGTTGGTAAGCGGTTTTTGCTATTGAACTGTTCCTTATGTTATGTTATTTATACTTAATTATAACATATATCGTTGTGGTGTGAGACTATAGATAACATTTATGTTTCGCTCACATTGCATTGTATAAGTCTTGTTTTTTTATATTACTCTGTTTTGTAGCATAAATTTGAAAAAAAACTGTTGCCTGTTTTTGCAGGTGTAAAGTGACGGATACGTGTATGGTTTGCGGTCCTCTGTTTAGTTACTTCTGTATAGTTTGGTTTTTCTCTTGTAACATGTGTTTTTCATTTATTTGTTTTTTTTTTGTTTCCACTTTTTTATATTCAGTTATAGTTTGCTATCACGCATTTCACACCAAAACTTCACGATCTTGGGTCAAGGAGTCTTGCCGTATTCTGACAGATAGTTGGAAGTTCCATTGACTTTCATACGTTTTTTTCTCGTCTTTTGTGGTTGTTAGCTGGCAGCTTCTGTGAATCCGCTGTTTGAAGATATTTTGACAAGTTGTTTCGCCTTAATTCATTGTTTTTGGCTGTCCGGAGATCACCGATTCAGCTGTACTCATTTTTTTTTTTTTCAGTAGTCAGTTTTTTGTATCTTTGGTTTTTCCGCATCGTTAAGTACTAGGTTTTTGTAGCAGTTCAACGATTATTTATTTTAGGCACCTTTCACTAGGAGGGAAAGTAAAGAAGTGAATAGAATTTTTCTAATAAAGGGTAGGTGGTGGTAATGAATTTTATTCCTAATTTTATTTATTTGTTAAAATAAAGAATTTTGATTCATAACAGTTCGTTTTTTTGTTCGGTGAAGAAGTCTCTGTTTAACTCTACTTTGTTCCTCGTAGTCATTGTTTTAATTGAAGGCAGACCGGTGTTCTAGTGTTTGGTTGATCTATTCGGAAAATGAAGGAAGAATTAGTTTTAGATGGTTTAGCTCTTAGGTAATATAAATGCTTAAAAAGTTATTAAATAATGAATGAGTAGGGAAAGTGATCTGCTGTTGTAGAGAAAGGGCTGGTGAAGAAGGTACGTGGTTTTCAAAAAATGTAGCATACAGTTGTTTTGAATTCAGTTCTATGAACAGTTGCATTTGGCAGTAAACTAGTTGACAGATGCTGTAAACGAGTAGTCGTTTGCGTGTTTAAGGATGGGCAAGCTAACGGTATAGAATAAATAAGGCAGATGTCTGGTGACCATTGTCACTGGCACCACCAGTAGGCCGTTATCATTGACAGGTTGATATTGATGTTGAAGAGGACTTAGGTTTGTCGGTAATGTGTGTAACACATGTATTTATGGTGTAAACAAACTGCTGAAAACGTTGCCAGACGAGGAGAGTGTAGTAGATTACACTGTGGAATGTTGAGGGACCAAATGATGGTGGTCAATGGGCATCATCGAGCGGTATGATCACATGATTTCTTGCTCATCTAATACACAAAAACAATTGTCTCAGTGTTAAAAATAACTAGAAATTTTGCTTTCCTTAATGTATAAACACTATGTTGCTGATAGGTTCCGTTCTATGAATGTTGACAATTAGCAGGACAACGATAAACCGCGACAATCGAGCGTCTTTTAGTAACAAATATAGGGCGAACATTGCATTCATTAATCTATATTGGAATTAGTGGATATTTAAAGGTTCATCGTATGTATATTGTTCGTCCGTTAAGGCATCGTGAACAGATGGCGTCGAAGTTGTAGGGTAATTGCGAAATGGAAAAGAGCAGTAGAGAGGAAGGGAAGAGAAGAAGAGAAAAGATCGGAGGAGGAAGACAAAGAAACAAAGATTAGGGTACAAAAATGCACTATCGCCACTGATTTGTCGTCATACAGTTCGTTTTTTTTTCTTTCTTCTGTTCTATGTTTGCTCACAGTAATGTGCGAAATTTTTTATCAAGTTTGCGCCATTATCAATGAACACGTTGGTACTATGGAGGGGGATAAAAACGTGTTTTACGTATTTCTTCTTTTTGGTCGAATAGACATTTTGCAGAAGTCAAATTTTTGACCCCCTAACGAACAGATTTATAATTTGCAGGCAAATATTCTTATGATTAGCACTGTTAGTACTATTATTGCTGCTTTTACTACTGGTTATTATTGTTTTTTAATTCTGTTACAATTAGTATTAGTTGTCCTGTTCATAAGCCCACCTAATTGTGTTGTTTGCTAAAAGAAACTGGCTATTTTGGTGCAGTTTTCTAGCTTAAGACATCTGTACTTTAGCAATATTGTTCTAGCTGCACAGGAAGCAATGAATGGTAATCGTCCAGCTCAATAAACATACATATTGATCAGCAGCAGAGGTTCCTTTTGATAACCATAAAAACGGAGCATTTCACTCTACAGATTTGTACAACAGACTGATTTTAGTCATTGTCTTATATATGTTTAATTCTTTTTCTTTTTTTTTCTTTGCTCACGAGTCACCATCGTTGAAATTTTTATATGAGTCAGAATTATTCACTCAAAGATTTTTTTTTTGTTCTCTTATTGTTGCTGTTTTTATGTGGGAAATCAGTAGTTTTTGATATTTGTTGATGTATTTTATCGCCCTTGTCATATGAATCAGAACCGTTTGGCTGACCAATGTTAAAACGAGAAAAAAACAAAATTAAAAAAGTAAATAACAGAGGCGGGAGAAAGTGCAGGCAAAAACAACAAAATGTGTCTTTCACGTATTGAATTTGTATGGCACATCTTTAATTGATTTCCTGATATATAATGCAACGTCGGTACTTAAAGACGTTTGGATGATGAATCACTGAGTTTTGTTAAGCACCAGTTTCTTTTATTTTAAGTTTTAGATTTTGAACTAGTAACTTCGATTTTCAGGTTGTGTCTGCTCTACACAGATAATAACGGAACCTTAAAAAAAAAAAGTTAATGAGGAATAGTTCTTGTTGTTTCTGTTGCGAATCAAAGACTGTTTAGCGAA